TGCAGATTGCTTCTGAATTACATAATAATATACAGGCCACAATAGCTTATACAGAGCCCCCTCTACCCCCCAAAAAAATAGGAATTTCCAACTTGAGAATGTTGAACTCTCTATATTCAATTTCTTGTCCTCCAACCCCAAACACAGGCTCAAGACTGAGACAAGGACTGAGAATCTGCAGTCTGTTAGATCTAGACCAGACACAGAGATCATCTAATTCGGTTCCTCCCAATCTGGTTGTAAATCTGAATCACCAGAGATACTGCTGTAAAAATATAGATTGGCCCCAAAATTCTGAGGTAGTAATTCCAGCATGGGGCCAGAAAGTTCTAATAAGTTAGTCAGCTAAAGAGAAGTCAGCAGCCCAAGGAGTTCAAAGAATAAGTCAGGTGGCTTCTCTCAGTCCTGTGCCTTCTCCAGTGCCCAACACGGCCTCTCAATAGAACAAATCAAAGTTAAAGCTGCCTAATGGTGGGCATATATCATTACATCCCAAAATGTAGTCCAAAAACCAAACAGAATATCTTACAATGTTTATTTTAAAACACAAATCTCTAGGTCCCCTGCTAGAATTACTCAATCTCTCAGGATTGTGCATCTTTCAGAAGCACAGATTCTTAGGCACGCTAATGTTTGAGAACCACTGGTATGTGGTAGCAGCCAGAATTTCAGGGGACTATTGTGGGAAACTGAGCTATATGAGCAGCTCCCTAGAGAAGAGAAGCCTCCATCTGACAGGAAAGAGGACACAGAGCTGTGATTACTGAGCAAACAGGAAGCTCCTGGTGAATGAGAATCTTCTTTGGGTTCTCAGGAGAACAGTGCTTGGGTCTCCCAGTAGTTTGGGCCGCTGGGTCATAGGCTGTTCCCAGTGGCCTGGGCCGCTGGGTCATAAGCTGCAGGAAGAGAACCAGTGTGGTCAGATCGCTCCTGGTTAGCAGAAGCCCGCTTCTCAGATCCCAACGTTACCCTTTCTTTAAAGGACTTCTAAAACTGTCTTCCAGTAACCTGGAACACAATTTAAAACTAACAGGTACAAAAAGCATTTGCCACAGTTTGGGAGAGCTCATTAATGCCAGTAAAGAGATAGATATCTTAAGCTCCTAGAGAAGTACTGTAAAATAAAATAAAAATTTTTAACATTTTTTTAAATGAAAATACAAACAACGTTTCATTAAAACTCAAGCTATCTTCTCAAGGTTTATTTGTAAGGTGGTGATCAAATCGAAGGACATTTCTCCTACTTAACCTATAATGTACGTGAAGTACAACCACACTTTTGTGAAGAGATGTTACACCTAAAAATAAACCTCTTCCCTGTTAGGAAAGGGCTTGGTGCTCCAGGAAGTTAAGAAAGAAAGGACTGAAAAGAAATGGGCCAAGTGTAGGAGACATAGAACAGATGGGGGTTCATCTCAGGAGAAGTACAATCCTCAAAGCAACAAAGAACTTATGCAGGTACACAGTATATGCATAAGGAAAACAGAAAACATCTTTAAGTCACAGTTCTTACTATATCTTACTAATTTTAACAGGTTTAGTAAGCATGAAGGACTGCTTTGCAGTCTAATTAAATTGTTGTTGCTACGTGTCATCGGGTCAATTTCAATTCATAGTGACTCTGTATAAGGTTTATGATACTTTAACTTTCCCTCAACTTTCTCCTGTGGAGTTGCTGGTGTACTCAAACCACTGACTTTGTAGTTCATGATCCAGTGCTTTATTGTACAGAGCCACTGCTCTTCCGTAATTAAACTAGCATTGGAAAAAATATATAAGTCTATATATAGGGAGAACTTACTATGTCTCATTACTAGACACTGCACAATGAAGGAGGTAAGAAAAATAGAGAAATTCTACTGGTGGTGGTGGTAGTAGTGTGTCAGGGCATTGGTTCCAACTCATAGCAACCATGTATAAGGTTTCTGAAGCTGTAAAGCTTTATGGAAGCAGAAAGCCTCATCTTTACTCCATGAAATAGCTGGTAGTCTCGAACTGCTGACCTTAAGGTTAGCAGCCCAATTTGTAACCACTATGCTACTAGAGCTCCTTGAAAAATATTACTAGCTCAAAATAATTACTCATAATTTATCATTAAAAATCCTGAAGGAGAAAAGCAATACCTGAAGTTCAAAAGCAACTTAAGTAATCTAATAAGGAGCTCTGGTAATGTAGTGGTTACAAATCGGGCTGCTAATCTCCTGGTCAGCAGTTCAAAACTACCAGCTGTTCAGTGGGAGAAAGATGAGGCTTTCTGCTCCCATAAAGATTTACAGCCTCGGAAACCCTGTACAGGGTCACTATGAGTTGGAACCGACTCTACGGCAGATAACAACAACAGAAAGGATAATAAATAACTCATTTATTTTTATTCTACAAACAAACATATTAGAGATGGAGAAATGGCCAGGAGCCCAGTTAGTGTAATCTAAAGAATTACTTTCCCTGACTCGATGGGAGAGTTGACCAAGGAATGCCACTTTCTGATCATCCGCAAAGTCACTACAAATCGAAGCACTGATAAGTCTAGTCTTTTTAAATACATTACCTTTCAATAATACCAAGATTTTCCATATTCTTCCTAGAGAAAAACTGGTATTTCAGAGCACTCTTCTGAGAGTAAATGTTGACCCTCCCTGAGTTTTACACAGAATTGTTACTACCCTACAAAAATTAAACAGTCTACAGTAGTAGACAACTTGAAGAACAAATCTATTCCCCTCACAGTTGGTTTTTGCTCTGCTGAAAGCACAGCAGTCTAATCATAAACAATATTTGTTCTTTTAATGCTGTGCAGGAGTCAAGAGAAAACAAAATCCAGAGTTGGTCCATGGATCTCCCTTACAGCATTTCTTTGATTTTACTGACATCTGGTGGCCATTCAATGACTCATTCTTTTATAAAAATGGCGTCTTTTTTTTTTTAGATATATGCCTCAAATTGTTGTTGTTGTTGTTGTTAAGTGCCGTCGAGTCGGTTCCGACCCATAGCGACCCTGAAATAGACATTAGAAAACAGTCAATTTGGACCCATAGCCACTCTATAGGGCAGAGTAGAGCTGCTCCTTAGGATTTTTGAGACTGTAAATCTTTACAGAAATAAACAGCCTCATCTTTCTCCCTCAGAGCGGCCATAGGTTTGGACCACTGACTTAGGAATTAGCAGCCCAATACTTAATCCACTGAGCCACCAGGGCTCCTTAAATTAATATTTTTTTCACCAATAATAACTGGTCAATATGTTTGTCTTCTAGAGGATAAAGAAGTCTTATAGAATGTGGCAAAGGGTAAAATTATATTTAGTTCCAGACAAATGACTAATTATATTGGATTCATACATTTATTTCATAAATATTTGCAAAGCATTGTGATAGGTCCTGAGGATACAGGTGTGAACAACTCAAATCTGTCCCCGTAGTTTCCATCACAAATACTCCAGTCTTTTGGGGATGACCCAAAGTGACATGAATTAATCAAGAGCTGTGAAGAATAAAAGCCATTACGCCCTTTTAGAGGAGGCCTGAAAGGCAAGAATAATCAGCTGAAATAAGAGTAAGTGTAAACACATTCTAGACATGTTGGAAAGTTCTAAAGTGGTGTGTTTGAAACACTGAAAGGATATAATATGTCTACAGCATAAAGTTCAAGGGTAAGAGTGGCACCTCAATTTTCTTAACCATGTTATTTTTTTTTCCCTACTAAAGCAATATGAGTCTAGTCAAATTCACAAATCACCACATGAGAAACTCAAATTTCAATGTCACATCTTCTACAAGACTTTCTCACTAGTCTATCACCCTCTCTCCTCTGGTACCACCACCACCATCCCACCTCCCATTAAACAATCTATCAAAGTTTGTCACCAGTCAAAACCTCCTTTGCTGGCTCATCTAGAAACTAAGTACAATAAAACTCATGTTATATGATTCTTGGAAATGCAAATAAAAAGGTCATATATCAATACTTTTACCTTACCTGGTGTCTTATGCTAACAAATGGTTATTGTTTCTAATACAGTGGTTGTCAACCAGAAGAGTAAGGTATTTTCCCCAGAGGATATTTGGCAATGTGTAGAGATATTTTTGGATGTCACAATTAGGGTAGAGGGATGGACGCTACTGGCGTCACTGGGTAGAAGCCAGAGATGCTACTAAACATCCTGCAATGCACAGGACAGCCCCCTACAACAAAAAATTACCCGATCTAAAATACTGTTAATGAGAGCCTGTTTTAATAGAACTCTTTCTTACAGCTTTTGTTGTTGTAAAGTGCCCTTGAGTCAGTTCCAACTCATAGTGGCCCAATATAGGGTTTCCAAGGAGCAGATTGTGAATTTGAACCGCCAACCTTGTGGTTCAAATCGACCTTGTGGTCCTGCGCTTATCCTACAGGGCCACACCAGAACTCCTGAGTTGTGAATTATACTCATCTTAATAAATTTCGAAGAAAATGAGATGTACAGACGAAAGCCTGAGGCAAAAAGAGAAATATAGCATTTTAATGCCCTTCCTATTAGATCTGAGAGTTTCATGAACTGGCAATAAATAAAGGCAGTAGGTAGAGGAGATAGAAGATTTGGGAAATAGAATTTAAAGTCACTGTTTATTAAAACAAAGATAATTAAAGTATGGTATTCCAATTATTCAGCAAGTTTCATTATTCTGAGACATCCAATTTGTCAATAAGAACTATGTATTCATTACTTAGTTTTAAAGTACTCACTGAAGGCAATACGTTCATATAAAAAATTTTATTTTATTAATTTTATACTAAAATGTCAAAATGGATTAGCCTTCAAACATTAAACTATAGAAATAAACAATTATTAAAACTCTAATATGTTATAATGAAGATTACCCCTATAGTAAATTTAAAAATAAACCACTGAAATTATTTAGATGCTCATTTTTTCTGTTCTTTAAGTAGAGGACTACAAACATTTCCTCACTTGAATTATTGAAATTACTTTAATACTATCCAGAAATAGAAATCGATACTCACATTCACTTGAACTTGAATGGACCAGTCACCAAATATTGGATGGGAAGACAACTGAAAAGTTTTAGAAACAACTCCAAGATTATTCTGTTCTGACAGCCACTGTTGGATCAAATTGGATTTGGGGTCCTAAAATGAAAACCATACATATCAATTATACAAAGGCTGTCCACATACATATATATTCTATCCAGTTATAACTGATGCTTTACAGCACTTTCAGGTTCCAGGTTTGTCTAAAATCTTCCCCAAAATATGGCATAAAGTTTTTGGAAAATACTGGTTTTATAATACTACTAAAGAAGACAAATCAAAATTTCTTATTTTCTCATATTTCTCTTGGCAACATTCTGATTTTGCTCCACCTTATAATTCCTGGCACCATATTTGTGATTACATGAAATATCTGTATCATTGCTGTTTTGAGAAGAAATTCCCATTGTAATGATAAGGATATTGTTCTTGTTAAGTGCTGTGAAATTAGTTCCAACTCATAGCAACCCTTTATAGGGTTTCTAAGGAGTGGCTGGTGAGTTTGAACAGCTGACCTGTGATTAGCAGTTCAGTGCGTATCCTAAAGCACCACACCAAGACTCCTATAATGACAATGTTGTTTGTTGTTGTTAAGTGCCATCGAGTTGAGTCGGATAATGATAATAGGCCCATTTATTAAAGAACACACTATGATTCTGGCACACGGCATTATCTCTGATCACTACAGTTCTCCTTCAGTGTATGATTATTCTCCTGTTAGAGCTGAGAAAACTGAGGTGTGTTAAAGTTACATGAACACTCAATAACTAAGTGACTGACATTGCCCAGCATTACAGCACCAATAGTAGACAAAACTCAGGAAGCACACCATGTTTGTCTTTTAGCTCAACACAAGTATATCAGAAAGATGTTGAGCCATCACAAAAAAAATAATATTTCAATCATCCCATAACCTCCCTCAGAATCCTAGCATGGCGCTATAAGATAAGCTCTGGACAACTAACCACAAGGTCAGCGGTTCAAACTCACCAGCCTCTCCTCGGAAAGCCTATACAGTGTCGCTATAAGTCAGAACCAATGTGAGCGCACTTAACATCAATAACCAAGTCTCCCAGACAATAATCCCTTCATGCAACCATCATAGAAACCAGACCAGCAGTTGCCTCACATTCTTCTCTCCCACTCCAGCCCTGCCAACACTCTCTTTAATAGCTCGCCAGTTGGTCTCCTTATTTCCATCCTCACAGCCACCAGCTCTTCTTTCTGAACTGTTGTAAGTCATCTCCCTCTTCCAGTGTGGCCCTCTCTGATACATCATCCTCGCTGCTGGCAGTGTTAGCCTCCTAAGACACAAATCTGAGTAGATTTCTCTGCAAGGAGTACTTCTGCCACTCTCTGAAGTCCTGGATTTTGTGTGAGGTGTCCTCTCAGCAAGTAGATTCAGAGGAGTTAGTTCACTTAAACAAGGTGGTTCCCTCACCTGGCCAGGCCTGCGGTTTTGGGTTTGCCATTGCTGCTCCAGGCCAGAATGGTTAGGACACACTCACAGGATATAAACACAGGCCAATGACACCCTCTCCCCACACATGACTGCTCATCTCTACCAGGAGCAATTTTATAAAGAAGAGAGGTCAGAGTAAACACCAGTCATGCGGTCTGCCATCACAATGTTCGAAGCACTTATTCCGTAGTGCTCAACTGGAGTGGCTGGAAGAGGCCAGGATTAGGACAGAGGCAGATCATGTTTTCTACTTCTCAAAGGCCTCTGAAACCCCTTTCTTTCCTTAAAAGGCCAGTTAGTGGTGCCTTTTCATTCCTAATGACAGCCTCATGAAACAACAAACATCCCTGAATATAAAGGTCAGAGTCTTAGTTGGCTTTGTAACTCTCAGATACATTTCTTCATATGGGTCTGCAGGTGGCGCTGCACTCACACGTACAACTTTCTCCCAGTCAGGGGCATTTCTTAGATTGTCTTAACTTTTTTCTGGGCAGTCTGACAAGAAACCAATTATTCCATGCTGAAAGATATAGAAAGCATTACAGTCTGGTGAACTGTTTCACATGAAGAAGTATTAGACATGTGGGGCAAGCTGACCTCTTACAAGAGACCTTAAGGGAAAAGGGTAGCCGCAAACCTGAGTTCACATGCAAGCCTCATTGCCTAGAGGCAAAGAGGGGAGTATGGCTGACACTCATCCATTGTTCCCATGCACTTTGGGTTCCTGGCCAAGAGGGAGGTTCTCTCTGAGTACATCAGGGAAAGCTGATTAGGGCAAACTAACCCCTAAACTGGAGAGAAGAGCCAAAGAATCTACAAATCTAAGGAAAGGTTTCAAAGATAGAAACTTAAGCAGAGCAGAAAAGCAAAACTAAAGAATGCACAGAGTCAGCAGAGTTGTTGTAAATTGCCAGGTTAATGCTCAGAAACAGCAATTTATGTAGTGAGGACTCTTATTTGCCTGGAGGTAGAAAGAGGCAGATTGAATGTAAAAGACTAGATGTTTACTGCTAAATCCTGTTTTATGCATTTTGGTTTACAGTAAGTGCTCAATATATGTGGGTAAAAGATGAACTGCTCAAAAAAGTATCATAAATTTAGAAATTCTATTCACTGCGTAAACATAACAAATGCAGAAAATCACAGAGCTTCAAACTTTGAAATAATACTAGTTCAATTCAAGAAATATGCATTGAGTACCATGCTGAACAATGTATTGTTTACTTCAAACACAACTATCTACAGTTATATGTGTATAAGTTGGTTTGCTTGGTTTTCTTCTTAATTTATACCAACAATCTAAAAATCATAGGAAGATAACAGAATTTACATAAAATGCCTGAATTTACCTTCTATACTCTATTATTCATCAGAACATTTAGAGTGACTGATTTTCTCTGGACTGAGGGCATTACCAGGACATGGGATTTTGGTTTTAAATTTTATTTTTTAAAAAGAATCTCAGGCAAATTAGGATGAGTTAGCCACCCATGTCTAGAATTGCCTTCAGTTTAAAGGTAGAAAACCAAGCTCAGCTAGATGTCAATTGTGTTCAGCTTAATTCTCAAAGGAAGGCTCTCAGTCTGCTTCCCATACTGCCTCCAGATTATAGGAATATTGACGCAACAGAGGCCAACTGGCTACCTGTCAAAGGAGTTCCTATAATAAGAATAGTAGCTAATGATTGAGGAGCATGTGTCAAGAATGTACTCTTCTTGAATTATCTTGCTTAACCCTCACAATAACTTTGTGACATGTTATTATTAACACATGGCTTCAGAGAAGGAAACTGAAGCTCAGGGAGATCTGTTCTCAGAACACACTGACGAGTTATTATTAAAATGTTAAGTCAGATCACGTCATGCCTCTCTAAATTCTCCACTGACTTTTCATTTCACTTAGAGTAAAATGCAAAGTCCTTTTTATGACCTACCAGACCTTGTATAGATCACCCTCAAATCACTCTTTGAGCATCTATGATTTGTCCCCTCACTCCCTGGACTTCAGTGCACTGGCCAACTCATGGTTCCTCAAGGCACCAAACAGGTCCCACCTCAGAGCCTTTGCACATGCTGGTCTCTCTGACTGTATCGGCTCATTCCTGTATTTCCTTTAGGTCTCTGATCAAATAGGTCTTCTCTGACAACTTTATAAAAAATAACAAGCACAGGAATCTCCAATCGTGCAGAAAAGACTTTGCAGAAACTTGAACAGTTTGAACCATGTCAAAAAATGTCTGACTGTCCAAACTGTATTAGGAAAGCAATGAATGACCTGCAGAAGAATGTTTTGCCTGGCAAGAATGACCTTCTGTAGATGAAGGAAAACAACAGGAACTGGAAGCCATTCCCAAGTCTCTCCTGTGCTGGACTTCACCACAGCTCAAGAAGGAAAGCCCAGTGGAGGAAGAGGAGGCCCAGGCAATGGCAGGGGTATGAGGGTTTGCTAATAGGTCCAGTTGAAGGAGCAACCAGGCTAGATCATAGCCCCAGACTTTGAGTCGAGGATGAAGGCAAGGAATTTGATGAGTGGGAAGACAACTACCACTATTCAGAAGAGGAGCAGCTCTGTGGTGTCAGCTACAGAGGATCAGCAGCACTTGAAGAAGGCAAGGAGATGTTTCTGAGAAAAGTCAGAGCAAAAGAAAGAGACCTAGATGGCAGTTTCCAATACATCACAAGAAGACCCCTTTTCATCCGTTTGTTTTGATCTAAGAACTTTTTTCATTTATGGTTGTCAATTATCTGACTGAACTCAGCCATGGTGAGATTATTGGTGGTAGGTTAATGCTGTTAAAAAAAGAGGACACTATTTAAGGAGAGACCTAACATTCCATTATTTGGGTGATTCATTTGAAACAGTTCTGTGCCAATGAAAAATTTAGTCTTTAAATACATGTTTTGCAGAATAGAATAGGGCAATGACGGCATAGTTCAATTGTGACAAGGGAAAAGAATTATTAAGAGAGAAAAAGAAATCTTAAGGTTGTTAAAACCAGTTTTCAAAAATGTCCTGAAGAACACCTATGATTTTGGCTTTGTTATTGATTCAGATTACTCTCCTTGCATTGGGAAAAATATCTTTCCTGTCCACAGCACTGTAAAGGATGATTTTGTACAAACAAAATCCAATCAAGATAAACTGTTGATAAGCATCCACTGATATTAACTATATGATAGAAAAAAAAATTACCAAAATGCCTAATTTAGGACATAAGATGTCCTTAAATTATTAGAAAACCTATTGAGAAATCTTTGAAAATTCTGACAGTGTATCTGTTCAAGTAAGTTATCAAAGACTAAATTATTAGTGTAACATAAAGTGAGTTTCCTTCATATCCTAAAACAATGAGAAAACCAAAAATAAATCTATATCACATTATTATGTCTTTAAACTGTGTCTCCAAGAACCTCTTAAATTTTGTTTATATCTTATACATCTATCTTAATAATTTATAAAGCTATTGTGATCTATAATTCAAGAAAATCCATATTGTATCCATTTGGAAAAGTCAAAATTTTTAAGATATCCATATATAGAGAGATATAGAGATATATATGCAAGTATAAAGAAAACAACTTCAACATCATTATACAGTAGAGAAATGTTCTGCTTTGCTCATTCTCTGTTTTTCACTTAATTTGACAGGTGAAAGAAAGGAAATAATTTATAATACCTTTATACCATGGAGAAATCAAGAGCCAATGATACTGAAGGAGGAAGTCCAAGGTTCATTGAAGGAATTGGCAAAAAATAAGACACCAGGAATTGATGGAATAAAAATTGAAATCTTTCAAGAAAGTGAGGTGGCACAGGAGGCACTCACTCATCTCTATCAAGA